AACAATGCCTTGACATGGAAGAGGATATCGTCATCTTCAACCTCCTCCTCAAATGGTCAGTCTACTGGATGGACATTTACTTGCTTTTCATAACTATAGAACTATTGCATCTTTGTAAAAAAAAAAAAAAATTGGGCTTATAGGCCCTCCCTAATTTTGGGGAAAAAAAAATACATACTATCATTCTTAAAAAATAAAATTAATATCATTTTGCAAATTTCAAATTAGCTCATTCTTCTTGTCTCTGATGCTTTCAAATTTCAATCCAACTTACTTAACATTTTCACTTTTCATTTCAATTTCACCTTTTTTAAGTTTAAATGATTAATGGTGTTTTGTTCTTTGTGTGATTGATATGCCTATATGTGAATCGAAAATTGTGCACAACAATTTAGGGATTTTGCATTTGGATATTGCTTAAAAAATGATGTCCTTTTCTTTAGAAAAATATTGCATGACCTGAACGGGTTAACAAAAATTGATCGGGTCACTAATTTTGTTAAAAACCGACCAAGTCAAACTGATTCTCATCGAGCCAATTGCATTGTCGATTCGTTGATTAACTCGAACAGGTTAAATCACCAATTCACTGATTTTTAGTTCAACCCGACCAGGTTTAATAACACAGTTGCTTGAAGGATTCAGGTTAACAAAATCTTAATTAATTTTAAGTTTTTATGATCTTTCATCTCTAAACTAACTAATTGGAATCAATGCTTTCAAATTAACTCTACCATGGCATCTGAGATTAATGTGGAAGCACATCACCAACACATAAAGTTGAATATACATGACATTTTAAGCATGGCACACATTCAGAAAGAGTACAAACAATCAGCTATCTCTAATTGCAACCTATCATTTCTAATTCCCTGGAGTGACATCATGAATTGGTATTAATTTACAGCTGAAGTTCTCAACTGTTTTTCAAAATCAAACTTAAGATTCTTCAATGCTCTTTTTCTCCAACAAATTTTATGGTCTTTACATAGAATGGAACTTTTGTATAAATTTAGTAAACTTAAGTTTCTTATGCAATTATTACAACAACAAAAAAGTTTCGTATGCAATATGTAAGACTTAATACCTATCATAGGTTCATGGAAAGTAAATGCATTAAGGTGAGGTTAATTTGAACAGTGCACTTCAACATTATCTCATTCATTTTAACTTGTCAACAGTAATCACAAAGAAAAAGTTTGCATTGAAAAATGATGATAAATACATCCAAATAATTTATTTACTTGATTAATTATTTTTTCTGTTGACATAGTGGAGACTACTGAGAGTGATAAGCGAGACAATTATATATGATGAGTGCAAGCTATATATAATTTCATAGGGTTTACTATGTGTCATTTAAAAGGATACAAGATTGGTTTATCAAAAAAAAAAAAAAAGATTCAAGATTGTATCTTTTTAGCAGTTATAACTATGTACTACGGGTAGTAAATAAATTTTGTTTTGTGGTAATCGGTAGTACATAATTAGGGGTGTGCAAAATAATCAGAAAACTGAACCGAACCATGAACCAAACCGAACCACCCTTAAAATAACCGATTTTTAAAATCAGTTCATGAACCGAACCGGTTTTTAAGGAACCAATACATAAACCGAACCGGTTTTCAAAACTAGTTTAAGAACCGAACCATTTTGAACCGAACCGAACCGTTTTCAAACCGAACCAAATTGATTTTTATAACTTTATTTTTTAAATTTTAAATTTTTCTTTTCATTTCAAAATAGGGTCAACCCGAACTGGTTCTGAAACTGAACCGAACCACTTCCAAACCAAACCAGTTTTGAACCGAACTGAACCATTTAAACCAATTTGGTTCGGTTTTTCAAAAAATTCGTTTCGGTTCGACCCATGCCTATACATAATTATCTCAAGTTGCTAGAAAAATGTTATTCTTTTATATAAATAAATAAATAAATATATATATATATATATATATATATATATATAGGGTTCGTTTTTTCTGCCGTTGTTGTTGAAAACAAAATTTTGCAACAGACACAGAAAAATGGGTGGTATTCCCTAAAATACATAGCGTAATATGTAAAAGTTTATAAATAAAAAATTTAAAAATATAACCATATATATATATATATGGGAAAAACTATTCTCATGTTACCTGAGATAAATTTTCTCTCCTACACACCCTTCGATAATTGTGTCATCTTTTTCTTTTTCAGGTGGTGGAGTCCACAAGTTTATCTATATAACATGAGATAACTTATGTCCTTTAGCATATATATATATATATATATATATATATATATATATATATATATATATGTATATATATGAAAAACCGTACCTTGGCTAAATATTCATAAAATGGCACTGAAATGACAAGCGACAGATCCTTAATTTATCATCAGTACAAAAGTCTGGTTGCGTGGTTCTTTTATTTTGCCGCTTCTGCATAAGTCACCCACAACTAGAAAACATCAATAGAAAAGTAGATGAACGTAATTACCATGAGTACCGTGCGCAGTATAATTGAAAAACACTGCCTCTCATTCATACACTGAAATTTGGGGACAAAACGATAACAACCTTCATCGTTGTTAAAACAAACAATCTTAATAGTATAATTAAATGCATACAAAATCTCACTATTTGAGGTATGATATTCATACTATCATTTTTTTCTACTACCACTTTAATCACCGTTGAATCAAATTTTTCAGTAAAAAAACGAACTAATGAGAGAGGAAAAAATTGTTGAAAAATTTGATTCAATGGTGATTAGAGTGGTTGTAGATTAGTAGAAAAAAAAATAATAGTTTGGATATCTTACCCAGATAATATTATGTATTATTCCCATGAATCAATTTTTAAGTATTCAATAAGTTAGTGAGTCTAATAATGCTCTTATAAATCATGAATAATGTAGATGTTACTTCAATTTATGTTTCTACAAGTTTATAACCAAAAGTGTAACAATCAACTCTGTCATATTTTGAAAATAGCCCACATAATGAACAGTAAATTACAGAAATACTCACTTATTCAATACAAAGGTGTAACAACAAACTTTTCCCGCACGTAGCTAGTAAGTGTTCAACGGTCATATAAAGAAACCTATATATAAACAACAGTTGTAACTTATATGTATATATACAACGCTTACAGATTGCTAGCTACTGGACACTACTGCATAGTAGAATTTTCATGCGTGTAAGTCCTGAGTAGGAAGAGCATGTAAACTGTCGTATAAAGTTCTAAAACTTCTCTTCGCAAAATAGAACATTATCAAATATGCAACCTTTAATTTGTCTTTTTATGGCTTAAAATTTAATCAGTTTTTTTTATTAGTCTTGAATGTTATTTGATTTCCTTAATCAATCTGAATGTTTTAAGATCATGACTCCCATACCTAGCTAGGACAGTAGGAGAATATTAAAACAAAGTTACAGAAAAAAGAGGGCATCAGATCTTCTTTTTTTTGGCGATATTTTATCGATGAATTTTCTTGCCTTGTTGGATTCCAAAAAAAGTGTAATTTTTAATCTCTTTCATGCTTTATTTTCCAGCAGTTTCAAGATGAGCTAGCGGAAATTGACACTACTAAAGGATCTGAGATACAGATACTCCTATCATTTCCACAAAAAAAGCAACACATTCAAGTGTGTGTAGCAAAAGAAAAGTCCTACTCCTCTATGTCTGTATTGTCTCGCTAACTGTGGATCTTACAGTCTTCTATATTGCTTTTGCTTTCAGTATCATACTGTGAGAACCTAACATTCCGTTTAATCTCTCCTTTTTATGCTATGAACAGTCTATTTTTAATAAATGTGAGGTTAATATTCAAACCTGAGTAACTTTAATTAATTTCCAAGAACTCTTAACTCAAATAAACATATATGAATGAATCAAGTACAATGAAATGTGTGTATATATATATATATCCTCAGAACCTGAAAGCCAAATGCATCAAGGTGCCATTAAATTAAAGGTAGACAACACTGTTTAACCAGCTTCATACCAATCCACACGATAATTTCAAAGTAATATAGTTACTTTAGATTGATTAACCAAAGCAAGTACTACACTAATTATATCCTGGGATATCACGTTTTACAAAAGGGAAGGGAAAAAGGGCTTAATTTTCTTATTGTTATATCATTTTATGTCCACTATAGTTAATAAATGATAAGCTGATAATTCATCACCTCTCCAAAAGTTAAGCTCCTTGATTCTATGCATGTCCAAAAGTGTTAGCAGCAATTATTGCAATGCCTGAGGCAAAATCAAAAAATGCATTTAAATAATCAGTGAGTTATCAACTTAATTAATCAACAAACAGTAAGATGACTGTGCTGAAGGCTAATTAGACATCAAACGAAGAATCTAAATCTAGAGAGTAATATAATTGAAGTCTCTAGGACAAATAAAATGTATCTTTACAATTATGATAAGCATCAGAGATCAGAAACAATGCGTCGAATCCGCTGCAAGCAATAATTACTGTGAAAAATTAGTTTTCAGCAGAATTAGGATACTTACTCTTTCTTTAAGCCTTGGTAGAACGGGAAAAAGAATCCCCACAGTACTTCCATTTATCTAAAACACGTTTGTGAGCAGTGCTAGCTGATCCAGACAAGAAGGGGACTGCTGAATAGGAGAGAAGACAAGAAAGTAACAAAGGGGATAGAAGAGAGGAGAAGAGCTGGTAATAACTACTCATCAATAAATGATATATAGCATAGTAAGAATTGAAAAAATTCACCTTTTTACAGCTGTACAAACTTTCTGCTCTTTATCTGCAAAGCTAAAATGCCTAACTAAACAGCAGCGGAAGCAGCAGTGTTGTAAACGACATCAACCCAACAAGGCTAACAGAAACATTAGAGGATAGAAGAAAGCAACAAGCTTTTCTGTGTACCATTAAATGCAGTGAACGGAAAGAGAGAGAGAGAGAGAGAGAGAGCACAGTATTGATGCAATAAAAAAAGGGGGACAAAACCATATATATATGGTAAATATAATATATTTATATTGTATTATACACAATTGAAAGGTCTAATGGATTTCATTCCGTTTCTTGGTAGTGAAACGATTTTTCATTTCTTCAAGACTCGAATCCCCAGCAAATATTAAATAAACGCTTAGAGCAGTTTAAAACGTAATAAAAAGCTCAAATGCTAAAAGCTAATTACTAATCAAAAGAGAAGAAGAACGGGACGAAAGTTTGGGAGCTCTTTCCTTCATTTGTAGCTGACGAGATAAAGGGAAGAGAAAAAAAAACAATTAAATAAAATGCTGCAAAAGAGAGTGTAGTGTAGCTGGCCCAACTAAATCTTCTTCATTATTTGGCTCTTAAATTTATTTGATCACTGCCGGTATTGCAAAGAGGGATCCAAATCAAACAGCACTGAAGTTCCCCCTCTCTGATCCCCAAACCTTGCTGATGATGAAAGTAGGTCTTCATGGGGTACCCTCGATCGCTGAAGAGGTGGAAGAGAAGAAGAGGGAAGTGAATTAACCATTGTCACATGTGTTGCCGAAGCCGAGGACAAGCATTTGGATTCTTCCACTGACGACGAAGCACATTCCATGTTCACCCCAAATAGCCTTAGCCGTTTTCCAGTAGTACTAGTACTATTACCACTAGTACTAGTAGTAGTAGTAGTAGTAGCAGCGCCACTCAAGGCACCATGGTGATGATGATGACCAACCGGCACAGAATCAATGATCATAGGGACAGTGTTCCCTGTCTCTTGTTGTTCCCTCTCACCCATTGGCATTGATGGTGTTGACCGCAGGTAATAGACTGACCCAGATCCCGAATTGAGCTCATTATAGTTGTTGTTATGGTGGTACTGCTGGTGATATGGCTGTTGCTGTGGCTGATGATGATGCTGATGCTGATGATGATGAAAAGAAGTATACATATTGTTGTAATTGAGTTGTTGCTGAAAATGATTAATATCATGGTAGCGAGGTGGCACAGTAGACGACGTGGGAGATGGGGAAGCTGGCTGAGAGTATAATCTGCCACCCCATCTGATGGGAAGAAACAAAGGTGTGATGAGTGATGTTGAAGGATCAGGAGGATGATCAGGCCTTCTCCTCCAATCTATGTACAACCTATGTCTATTCAATTCACCAAGGCCACGCTGGAAGGAGACAACGTCACCAGCATCGAGCTTCTTCTCCTTAACAAAACGGCTCCATCCCTTGGTCATCACATAGCTCTGGCTGCTATTCCAATAGGAATACCTGAACCGCCACATCTTGCCATTTCTGTCCTCAAAATTGAGAAGCAAGCCTTTGTCGTTGGATGATGAGTCAAGGGGGAAGTACTTCTCCGCGTGTTGCTTTGGTATCACCAGTCGGTTCAGCTTCCCTACATCGCTTGGTGTCACCACTTTATCAAACATGTGCTCTTTCTCCACTGGCAGCTCGTTGCAGCAGCTGGTGGTTGAAGAAGATGTGGCATGTGGATGATGAACTCCTCCTTGTTGCAAATTCCCTGCTTCCTCCTCCTCCTTGTTGCTCCCCAGTACTGTCAAGTCCATGAACTCTAGCTGCTGCTTTCTGTGATTGATGAAATTTGAAGCTGCATCTTGCTGGTGTAACCCTAACCCAGTTGATGAATTGTGAGATTCAGTATTCGTAGTGGCATCTGGAGATCATGAAGCATCCCCGACCATGGATTTTAATTTGGTGGTGAGGAATATTTATTATATGAAGACGAAGATATAAATGATAAAGTAGTAGTGTTGTAGATATATGGAGAAGAAAAGGGGTAATATTAATAATGCTTACTGCTGCTTTCTTCTCTTGTGATTTCCTCTTCCTCCTCTTCTTCCCTGCTATCAGAATACGCTTTAACTTCTTCTTGCATCAACTCCATGACTTTATGACTGACCTACTTTGTATTCTGCTAATAATAACCTCTGGATCTCAGAAAAACAATGGAAAGAAAGAATAAAAAATGAAAATCATCAGAGAGAATAAAGGGAAGAGGGCAGAAAAGCAAATAATAATAAACCATATTAAATTTGACAGCAAATGGGAAATTTTGAGCTGAATTAATATAAAAAAGAAGATTATAAGGTCAAATAAAACCTTGCCAACAAATAAAATGAAGAAAGATATATATTTTACCCAGATTCGTGAGGCTCTAAAGAAAAACAAAAAAACAGGCTCTTCGCTAGTATACAACAAGTAAAAGAGTCGGTGCCTTCATATTTGACCACGAGGCTCAAAACCCTAAAAAAAGACAAGCCATGGACGATTCAAAACGGGGTCAAGTTGTTGTTATTGTTGACCTACATAGCATAATATGAGGAGCAAGAGAGAAAGAGATAAAGAAGAGAGGGGAAGAAGTCATGTGGTTTTTAGCTAACAACTGTAGTTACCTCAGAGGAAGCTTCTTTATAACTAGGAAAAGAAGCAAAAAAAAAAAATTATATATTTCTTCCAACCCGGTTTTATTCGTCCAAGAGAGAGAAGGAAAGGTAGATAGAGGATTACTACACTTACGTGGGGGCCATGAATAATGTCCCTATTGTGGTCATGTGAGCAACTTGTCGTTTTCATCATATTTGGTATAATCTTGTACAATTTATATGTGCTTCCGGTTTCAAACCAAAAGGCAAGTTGTTCCAGAAACAATAAGCTTAACCGTGTTAAATTTGCACCCTTATTCTATTCTCAAATAAAAAATACAAAAAATGGGGTAATGATATTTGTTCATTCTTTTTTTTTTTTAATAGCTCATATATGAGTACGGGCTTATCTATATGTCTAGCTAGTTGTGGCAGAGATGAGAAGGAAATGCTAATGTGTAGTAGTAGAGGAGTGTGAAAAAGAGAAGGAATAGAGTGCACACCCAATTTTTTTTGACTTTTAGTGCCATTGATTGTGTGTGCTGTATGTATGGTCCCGAAGGCAAAGAAAGGAAAAGTAATTTGCTAAACTAATTAAGAGATAATGAAAACAGACCACCCTGCAGGCGCTCTCCTGCCACTGCTTCTCTCTATATATAATATAACCTCTCCTTAATTCTCTTTTCTTTCTTTCAATTCACTTGATCTCGTGTGCCCTAAAATTTCAATATTTCTACTCCATTTTCTAGTAAAAGCAGATGAAACGTAATAAATAAAATTATTATCTCTCTGTTGCGAATCAATAACTTCTCCTTCAAAACTTCAACACCCAAGTTCCCATCATATTTAATAACCCAAAACGAAAAAATTAAAAAGTTACATGATGACCTTTTAGCCCTAGCTTTTAATGTTATTCCCCATTTTTACTGGACACTACCGCTGTTTTTTTTTACCATACCAATGCATTTGATTAAATTAAATGTCTATTAAATTCGTTTTTTAAAAGATATTTGAGACTAATGTGATAAATCTTGCATGTTGAGACAAGTCAGCATAGAAGTTCTACAAGGCAAACAAATGAGACTCTTTTATGTCTCGCATGTTAACCACGCGAGACTTAGAGCCAATGGAGAAGTCCCCCATCGCAAACGGACTCTTAAATGTTTGTAATATGGGACTTAAGTAATCTGATCGGGCTTTTTTTGTGTGGAACTTTCACATTAGCACTAAGTCTCGTATAATTAATGTGCGATTAACATGCAAGATTAACTATTTCACTATGGCGTATTTGATCATAAAAAAAAACTCATTAGTGCTTTTCTTACCGTGCACACGGATTTGTATAAATATGATACATTTAATTATGACTTTATATATATATATATATATATATATATATATATATATATATATAATTGATAACTGTTTAGCATAAATTTAAATTTAATTATATTATAAATCCATCCATAGGTACAAATATTCTTGTGGTGGGATTTATTTAATAACAGGAAACAACAGGTAGCAAAAAAGGTTGTACTGGACCAATAATTATTCAACTGAAAAGAAATTTATTACTTTAATTAAAGGGCTCATTCAAGTCCTTGAAATAAAAATTGGTGTTCAAGAGCTACCTCTACATAGGTTCAATAATACTCAATTCCGATTTGATTATATTTCCCATGAATCAGATAGAGAAAAAAACTTGTTTGTGAAGAACAATTAGATTTAAAAAATATTTATTTATTTTTCTTGTTTTAAGAGATTTTTTCAAATCAGACTAACTTTTATTAAGTCCTACCCAATTATTTTTTTTACATACTCAAATTTCAAATATTGCAGAACCCTCCCAATTTCTGAGTTTAAACTTGCTTACAACTTAATTAATACATGAAACTTTTGTACATGTGTCTCGCCACATAATTAAAAATTGTCTTAAGAATGTAGAAGCTTGATTTTTGTTAGACTTGCTAAATATATATAAACAATGAACTCAGGGAATAAACTAGAAGTTGAAATTAAAGCAAGCTGAACTAATGTATGCATATATAGTAAAACTAATTATTAAGCTGCTTTCGTGCACGTGGTTTTCCTTTAGCCAGGTATTTAGTCATCAATTTATATTAGTGTGTGTTTGATATGTGTGATGTAAACCAGATATTTAATGTAGAATTTTAACACATTTACCTAGACACAGGTACACCCATTAATGTTTACACGGCCAAACTTTTCCTCTTTGATTAAGCAGATAATGTTTAAATTCTTAAAAAAGAGAGAGAGAGTATATCTTCATATGCTTAAGCACAGTCTTATTGGAAGATTACACACACCTTGAATTAACGTCTCTGGAGCTATAGTCATTATGAATATGAAGCTATAGCCATTAATTAAGAATATGAATAGCTTTATGATCTTCATGTTTAAAATAGAGATGATGAAAACCTCTCAATTGACTAATAAACCCTCTCTGAGCACGTCACATTATATATATGATAATGCATTTTAATTAATCATGCACTATATTCCAGGCTAAATAGAAAATTAATATGTATATGTTCATTTAAACTAGTGGTCATTTGTTGAAGCAAGATTGAGAGGAAGTATAATGGTGTACTTAGGAATAATTTCAATTTCTCTTTATACAAAAAAAAAAATTCAATTTCTTAGTCTATCATCACATGGACATATATAAGGTATCTTTGAGCAGTTAACTTAGAACGTCTCAGGGAAAGAACTTAGTCAAACACATTATTTAGTACAATTAATTGTCGGTGTTGTTCTCATGATCATACATACAGGCATACGAACATGAGGGGAAAAAAAGGATAGAATATTACATAACCTAGAAAAATAAAATTAAGAAATCTCTATTTTTCTTCTCCATTAATGTGAAGTAGTTTTCTCCTACCGCAGAGTTTATAGAGCTTCTTGGTATTCTCAGGTCCTATATCTATTGAAACCCCTCTAACTCTGACTGCATTTTTTCTCCCTCCAGTAAAGTAAACAAAAAAAGAATGAGAAAGAGTGCAGTGCCATGATTAGATCTTGTCAAAGTGAAAAGTAAACTCAAGGTTTAGTTTGAGAGTTTTAGAGAGAGTTCAGAGATAGAGAAAAGAAAGTCATCATTATCAAATCCAGGATTTAATGCTTTCTTATCCTTTTTTGCTTTAACAAAAATAAGTTTATTTAAGATTATATCACAGTGTTGGGAGTATCAATGATCACCAATAGAACTACATGGTTTCTCTTAGTTCAAATTCTTTTAGCTACGTGGCACTCCTTTGTTGGCGCAGACCTGGTGGTAACAATTAGCATATGAAATTAGTATTAAATTATAGGGAAATATCTGTTTACAAATTTTTTTTACAAATTACACTAAGAGCCTGATTGGATCCTATTATTTTTAAGCTAAAAACTACTTATAAACTAAAGCTAAAAAAAAGTTAAAAGCAGTTTGGTAATTACATAAAAAATTTAGCTTAAAAGTTACTTAAGAGCACATATTTCAAGAAAATTATCTCTTTATCTATCTTCTTTATAACTCTTCTTTTAAAAAAAAAACACACAATTCAAGAAAAACAGATAAAAGCTTAAAAAAAAACTTTTCATTATAAGAATTTTTTCCAAAACTTGTTTGGCCTAGCTTATAAGTAGCTTCTAGCTTAAAAAATAGAAGATCCAAACATGTATAAATATTTAATTTTTCTTATTTTGACCTCCCATATATTATGTTTGAAGAGAGAAATAAATATTTAATTTTTAGCCTCCCGCAAGAAAAGAATTCTTGGGTCCGCCACTAATGATTATGTACAATAAGTCTTAAGAAAGTAATTGGAAACTATGGGGAATAATTACTATTTAGCATAGCACACTTTGTTTTCATTATGCAGAGGACAGCTAGTGAATCCGAAAAACACAAACTGGGTTTAGATGCTTTTCCTTTTCATAGTTATGCTTCTGGAAAGCAGAAAGAAAACATATCCCTTGTCCCTTTGATGGTTGATTAAATATATAGTTGGCTGTGAATTTTAACAGTGTATATTAATGGGTCTTTCTGATATCTAGCTCTATACATGATAGTTGGCTATGTTTATGACTAGTTAGTATCAAGTGGTCCAGTGTGATCTATGTACCCATTTCTCTGGGTTGGACGGAGCCTCCAATCACCATAAATTATATATTTGCAACTATGATATAGACAAGCAAAAAGATTAACATTGTCATACTCAAGTTGTAGAGATACAAACAGAGAGAAAAGGGGAATCAAACAAATTGGCTTTGGCTTGGCAAGAGGATTGATGTCCGGTCACATTCCAATTACAATTGTCACTACTAGAAAAAACTTGTATAGCGACGGAATTGCTATGGAAATTCCGTCGCTAATTTCATCCTCGCTACTACTTTTCGTCACAAATTCCCTCGCAAACGATTTTGCGAGGAAATTTGCGACGGAAAGTAGTATAGAGGATGAAATTAGCAACAAAATTTTCATAGCAATTCCGTCGCTATAGAGATTTTTTCTAGTAGTGTGTATGCACTGGCAGCTCGCGTATATAAGTGTGATTCCCTTTATTGTCTCTTTTGGAACTCTCATCGTAGTAGTTGTTGAAATGAAATTTCCTTTCTAAACTTTCTGCTGCAAATAATAAAAATAAGTACTAATATCATCATGGAGCTGCAGGTAAAGGTACAAGAGAGACTTGTCATTTATTTTGGTTGCAAAGTTCAATCCCACGAAAACTAGTCATTTAAGCAATTGGAAGTCCTTTCTTTCCTCTTTCCCTCTCTCATTTCTCAAAATAACCCTGAAATTCCATATCTTTCATTTCCTCAAATGGATTAAAATTAGTTTGAGGATAGAGAATGTAATAACATGCAATTAAAAGAGCAATGTGAAAGACTGATCTCATTTCTTTCTTTCTTGCTTTCTTTAATTTATGGGAAAGTAGGCATGCAATAGAAAGCGATTGAAATCCCGAA